CCGGGGCGCCTGCGCACCGCGGCCCACCGCGCGCCTTTAAGGAGTGGCACTTTTTAAAAGTGCAGCCGGAGGCCCAGCGCGTCGTCCCCCCCGTCCGCACCGTCGGGTCCCCCAGCTTCGCGTGTCCCCCCGAGTCTGCACACGGCCAGCATCATGCCTGTCAAAGGCGGCACCAAGTGCATCAAATACCTGCTCTTCGGGTTCAACTTCATCTTCTGGGTGAGTGGGGGGGCGGCGCGCGTCCCGGGGTCCCGGGGTCCCCGCGTCCCGGGGTCCCCGCCTCCCCGCGTCCCCTGGCCGGCGCCGGGCACGGGCTCCGGGCGAGGCGCGGAAGGGGGGGACGCGCGCGTTTGTGGGGTGCCCCTCCCTCCTCGAGGAGAGGGGGCGCCGCTGCTCCACGGGCAGGGGAGCAGCGGGAGGGGGGACCCCGGCGAGGGGGGCCCTGAAGACCGATCTTGGCCCCGATCGTTTAGCTGGGGAATTTGGGGGGGGGGAGACCAGGGAAACAACAACAACAAAAGTGGGGTTCAGTCGGCTCGAGTTGCGAAGGGGGGGTGCCCACACGTCATCGGGGAGATCGAGCCCCCCCTCGCTGGCCGGGGGGGTGGGGGATCCCCGTACACAGAGTGGGGGTGCAGGCCGGGCTGGGCCTCGGCGGGAGGAGGAGGGGGTTCGGGGTCCCCCCCCCCCGGGCCGTGGGAACGTCCCGCTCCCCCTCGTGGAAGACTCGCTCGTCCAGATTTCCTCCTCCTCCTCCTTCCTGGAGTGAGATACGGATCTCCAGCCCGGCGGGGGCGGAGCGCGCTTCCGGGACCGATCAGGTGTCCCACCTGCGGGCTGCACCCCCCTGCCCGCCGCCAGGCCCCGGGCCTGCGCCCCGAGACACCCCCCCCACTGCCCACCCAACGCAGGCCACAGGCCCAGAACCCCCAAGCCGGGGAGCGGCCGAGGCGACCCCAGGAGTCAGAAGGACCTTTTGTGTCCTGACTTCCCCAGCTCCACCACTGACATTTGAGGCCCTGTCTAGGAGCTCCCGCCTGTAATCCCAGCCACTCAGGACACTGAGAGCTGAGGATCAACGTTGGAGGGTATGGCCCCAGTGGGGGAGCCCCGGCCTTGGATGGCAGTTCCCAGGCTGCACACGCGCACACACAGACAGACACACAGACATACACACGCACACACACTCAAAGGTGGATTTTTATTTGGGGGGTCACCCTCAGGAGACAGGGCCATAGAAACAAGTCGGGGTTCAACCAGAGGCCCGTGACCACACAACAACAAAACCAAAAGAAAAGTTGGCAGGTCCTGAGGCTGGGCCCAGTGGGGAATCCGAAGGAAGCAGAAGACACAGAAGTAGACACCCCCCTCTCTCGCTCTCTCCCACCGGACCTGCCACCGTGCTGACTTCCTGTAATCACCGACGCTGGCATCACCCCAAATATGTCCCAAGGCTCCTCCAGGCCCCGCTGGGCCCCGCCCTGCCCCGCCCTGGCTCTGTGGAAAGCTTTTGGCTCCCTCTGCCCGAGTCTGTCTTGGTGAAGGTGCCAGGCTGTCTGCTTAGAAAGCATGAAGCTTTAGGGCTACTGGGGTGGGGGAGGGAGATGGAGGAAGGTGGATCTAGACTTGGCACAGTGTGTGTACCCCCCAAGTCCACTCAGTCTGTGGCATGCCAGGCCTAGCCAGAGCAACATGCTGCAGTTAGGTGTGGCTTGCTTTGCATACTCCTCCCAGGCCCGGCCGGGACTGTTAGGTTGTGCTGTAGGGTTGGGAATGATAATAGAGATGAGGTCCTGAGATTCCCTTGTGCACAGCGAGGAGAGAGAAAACCAGAAATTGGGGTGAGGTGTGTTCAGGATCCTTGGGTCCCTCCTCCCCTCCTTCTTCCCTCTCTTGTCTCCTTCGTGGGAAAAGAAGGGGGGGAATGTTAGGGAATTCATTTATTGTTCACTTGTACCAGTTTGGGGCCTTCTAGAATCAAAAGCCTGCTCTTCTAGAACATGGTAAAATAAGAGTGTCCCTGAAGAGTGTCCCTTAGTTTTTTCCACTCAAGGCTGGCGCTCTACCACTCGAGCCACAGCACCACTTTCAACTTTTTGTTGGTTCACTAGAGCAAAGAACATCACAGGCTTTCCTGCCTGGGCTGGCTTTGAACCACGATCCTCAGATCTCAGCCTCCTGAGCAGCTAGGATGTCAGGCGCCCCGCAGGTTAAAGGGCTTCATGCAGGGTCAGCCCGCTGGGGTCGCTCTGAAGCTCTGAGCCTGCGCAGAACAGCCATCTGCAAACCGAGCAAACCAAGTGTCCCATGCCCACAGTCCAGCCAGCGATCGGCCTGGTTTTTCCAACATCCCAGGAGCCAGACTCTCCCAGCCTATTTTTGGTGGATCCTGCGTTGGCCACAGATCTGCCCAGTTCATTTCCCTCATCCCCCGTGAAAAGAATAGAAAGGCTGAGCGAGAAACATCGATCCTCCTGATTACATTCCCCCCATTTTCCCAGGGAAATGGCAGGCTCCCACCCTGGTACTTGAGCAGACAGGTAGCTCCAGCCTGCCCAGCCCGGGGTGGAGATGGAGTCGCATGAATTTGGGGGGGCACAGGTTGGCCTCAAACTCTGATGTCCTCCAGCTTGCTTCTCCAGGCAGCCCTCGGGGGCCTTGGAGTGTGTTTTGCTCCTGAGGTTTTGTGTGTCTGTTCGTTTGGAGGCCACGATCTTGCACTCTAGCCCAGACCGGCCTCGAACTCTTTCCCCTCCAACCTCTGCCTGATCTTCCTATTCAGGTCCCGACCCCACCCTCTCCTAGCTGAAATCCTAACTGAGATCCTCCTTCGTGATTGGACGAGAAGAGTTCGGGGCAGGCGTGGGACAGCCTGGCTGTGCTGGAAATAGGAAGTCCCCCCTCCCCCCCAATAGCAAGGGAGGGGTGTCCTCCCTCCCGCACAGAAATGGTATCCCCTGTATCTAAGGAAGGTGGCTTGAAAATGTAGACCGAGGTCTGGATGCAGAGACCTGGGTGTGAATCAGTTCCATTGCCAGCTTGTTTGAAAACCTTGGGGCGGAGGGGGGAGGTAAGGAAGGGGGGAGGAGGGGGGATTGGCTAGTCAGGAACAGGTGGCTCCCGCCTGTCATCCCAGCTCCTCAGGAGGCTGAGATCTGAGGATCACAGTTCAAAGCCAGCCCAGGCAGAAAAGTATGTTAAGATTCTATAGCTTCCATGAATCGCCAAAAAGCCGGAAGTGGAGCTGTGGCTCAAGTGGTAGAGCGCCAGCCTTAAGCAAAGAAAAGCTAAGGGGAGAGTGCCCAGGTCTTGAGTTCAAGCCTTAGTACTGGCATAGACAGACAGACAGACAGACACAGAGCAATTCCCTCCCAAGAGATAGAGCCATTAGAGCCACAGATTTAGCTCCGAATCTTCCACACTCAACTCTAGTCCTTGGAGCTTGAACTCGGGGCCTGGGCGCTGTCCCTCAGCACTTCAGCTCAAGGCTGGCGCTCTACCCCTTGAGCCACAGCGCCACTTCGGGTTTTCTGGTGGTTCATGGGAGATCAGAGTCTCACAGACTTTCCTGCCTGGGCTGGCCTCGAACCACAATCCTCAGCTCTCAGCCTCCTGAGACACTGGGATGACAGGCGGTACCCCTGCTCTCTCTCCGGTCTCTTTGGCCTCCGTTCCGGCCTCCGTCCCTGACGGCAAAGCCGGACTCCATTTCATGTGCTGTTACAAGTTTGACGAGGTTTAGAGGTGGGTGGGGCCGGGGAAGAGACTGTCTGAAAATAACACTGCTGTGCTGAGAAAGAAAGTTCTAGAAGGCCTCTGTTTCTGGTGTTGGGGGTAGGCCATGGCTGCAGAGTCCAACGTCTCTCCATCACCACCACCACCACAGCTTTCTGTTACCTAAAATGGCTTCTCACGGCTGGAGCTGGAGCCGGGGGGTGGGGTGCTCTGTTTGTTCTGGAACTTTCCAGCGGGACAAGAGGTGAGCTGAGGCCAGGTGTCTTCCTGGCTAGAGACAAACAAAACACAAGAGGTGTCCGGTCCCCTGGCCAGATCTTTCTTACGATGCTTTCTTTGAACCAATCCAGAGTGGCCAGTGGCCAAGATGCTGACTCCTCATGTCTGGGTGAGAGAGAGTCTTACACAGACAGACAGACAGACACACACACACACACTCTTCCCCCAGACCTCGCTGGAAGGTTTTTGATAAGCAGCTACATCCGGGACTTTTCCTCATCAGCATCTGCCCCCCAACATGAGCTTTCTTCCGTGGCCTACTTGTCTCCTCACCCCTTCCTTTGAGGGGTGCATGGGGGTGGATCCTTCCTTCGAATAGCCCTGGGGGAAGAAGGGGGTGGTTCTCTGCCCCCCCCCAGTTTCCTGTCCAGTTCACTTGGAGAAGGAGGCAGGGTTTCTGGGGTGGGTAGAATGATCTGGAACTTACTAGCAGCTGGAGCGTACCATGGTCTTTTCTGTTGGTCACTAGCCCGCAGGGCTTGGCTTGGGCAACCCAGACGTCAAGGCCCTGAGTTCAAGTCCTCTGCGCTTCCCTCCGAGGGAAGCCTGACGCTCTTGTCTCATCGCTTTACTATTTTCAGCCCCAGCCGGGCGCGGTACTGCACGCCTGTAGTCCCAGCCACTCACGAGGCTGAGATCTGAGGACAGAGACTCTGATCTCTTCAGGTCCAAAAAGCCAGAAGTGGGAAGTCTGGCTCAAGTGGTAGAGCACCAGCCTGGAGTGAAAACAAGCTCAGGGGCAGCGTCCAGGCCCTGGGTTCAAACCCCAGGGCCCACACACACACACACACACACACACACACACACACACACACACCTCAGTCTCCAGCTCTGAGCCATCAGGAGAAATCCGTGGCAAGTGGGATTCCGTGGACACACGGGACAGCTCTTCCTCCGTTTCGTAGCCCTGTCGTTGGGAATCTGCCCCCGTGCCTGGCATGCTCCTTTCCATCACGGGTGCGGGCAGCTGTGGGGAGCGGTGTCTGTCCCCCAGATAAGATCATTGCATCATGATGAAGACCAGCCCGTCATTTCCTCCCTCTTCCCCTCCCCCCAAAACAAGAGGATGACTTCATGACTTAATGGTTGGTGGCTTGGGAGCGCGCTGTGCACAGCTGACATCATAGATCCGGAAATCGTTACCTTCTTAAAGAATATGACGACATCAGAGGGTCTTCCTTACAGACAAAAGGGAAGGAGGAAGGAAGGGAGGGGAGGGGCAAAAGGGAAGAGGAGAGAAGGAAAGGGGAAAAGAAAAAAGGAAAGAAGGGAAAGGGAGGGAGAGAAGGGGAGAGAAAAGGAGAGAAGAAAAGAGGAAGAGAAGGAAAAAGAAAGCTAGGCATCAGTGGCTCCCGCCTGTCATCCCAGCGACTCAGGAGGCTGAGATCTGAGGATCGTGGTTCAAGGCCAGCCCGGGCAGGAAAGTCTGAGAGACTCTGATCTCCCATGAACCCCTAGAAAATCAGAAGTGGCGCTGTGGCTCAAGGGGTAGAGCGCCAGCCTTGAGCACAAAAGCTCAGGGACAGCGCCCAGGCCCTGAGTTCAAGCCCCAGGACTGGTACAAAAAAGTAAGTCTTAAAGAAGGGGCATTTCCCATCTTGGGAGCTGTGGAAATATGGTCACTCCATGAAAGACAGAAAGACAGACAGACAGACAGGAGCCGCTGGCCCAAACGCTCAAGTGTGTAAGCAAAGCATGTTGTTTACAGGGTGGAAAGCAAATGCGTGGTCTCCTGGAATTTAAGGCAAAACACCCACAAATGACCCTCCACATCAGATGATTTTGGTTAAGAGCAGAATAGCTGCTTTCAGGAGGGGAGAAAAAATGAGAGAGAGATTTATTTCTGGACTTGGAAAGTTGAATGAGCCTTCTACTTGAGAGAGAAATCTCCCGTGCTGGGCAAAAAATCTATATCCAGCTCCACCTACAGCTCCCCCCCGACACACAGGGCTTTGGGTATTTTCCCCCTTTGGTTTAGTTTGAGGTGGTTTGTTATTGTCTTTTTAATTTGGGGGCATTATTGGAGATTGGAACTCAGGGCCTTTGGTGTACTTGGTAGACAAGGCACTCTACCGCCTGAACCACACCCCCCGTCCTGATTTTTGCTGGATGTTTCCGGGACAATAGGCTCTCGTGAACTTCGAGAATCCTCCAGCAGGCCAGGGTTATGGCTGTGAGCCATGGAAGCCTGGCTTGGCTGTGTTTTGTGTTTAAGATTTTTAAAATGATCTTTTTCTAGAAACTGAGTTGGTGGAGGTCACCACTCAGCTTGGCCTAAGACATCTGGAAGCCTTCACCAAGATCTTGGGGACCAGCCGGGCGCCGGTGGCTCACACCTGTAATCCCAGCTACCTGAGATCTGAGGATCGCAGTTCGAAACCAGCCTGGGCAGGAAAGTCTGTGAGACTCATCTCCAAGGAACAGAAAATCAGAAGTGGCGCTGTGGCTCAGGTGGTAGAGCGCCAGCCTTGAGCTCAAAGAGGCTCAGGGACAGCGCTCAGGCCCTGAGTTCAAGCCCCATAACTGACAAAAACAACAACAACCTGCCACGCCATTTGAACCACGTCTCTACTTCCAGCTTTTCTTTTTGCTGGTTCACGTAAGAGTCTCAGAGACTTTCCTGCTCTGGGCTGGCTTTGAACCGTGATCCTCCGATCTCAGCCTCCGGAGTAGCCGGGATTACAGGCGTGCGCTACTGCCCAGGACATGTCCCTGAAGCTGTGCTGGGCTTGAGGCGTCTCCTCCCTACTGCTGAGGGGGGACCGCGTTGGGTTTTGTGGTTGAATTCATAACGTGGGCCTGGATGCCAGAGAGACCCCGCCCCCCCAAGAAGTTCTAGAACTTTCCAACAGTCCTCCCTTGGCCTCTGCGCTTCCTCTCCCCGGGCTCTGTGGGGTGGGGGAGGAGGCAGGTGGGAGAGGGTGAGGGCAGCCTGCCACTGGGATCCTGTTTGTTCTTGCTTGGAGCTGCCCGCGCCCCGCCCCGGCATGGCACTCCCTGCCCAGCCTGGTTGCTATGGAGACGGGCGAGGCCAGAGGCCCTAAAGGAGGTCTGACTTTTGTTTTGAAATGTCACCGCCTGTGTGTGTGTGTGTGTGTGTGGACAAGGTTGGAGTGGGAAGAAGGGGGGAGGAACCCCAAAGTAATCCACCTGCCCTCATTCAACCCAGGAAGGAGTCAGGAGGCTGAGATCGGAGGATCGCCCACTCCACTCTGCCGGCCAAAAACAGCGGGGAGAAAGCCAAAGGGACCCGCACACCCAGGCCCTGAGTTCAAGTCTCACCAGCACACACAGAAAACAGTAATAATAGGAATGTAAGACACCCCCTCCACGAGCACAAAACCAGGATGGTGGATCTCTTCCCAGCCTCGACTTCCCAAGACAACTGAATAATGAGGAGCATTTGTGTCCTTCATTTACATTTGAAACCCCTGGGTGGATCCCAGTGGCTCACGCCCGGTCATCCCAGCTCCTCGGGGAGGCTGAGCATCGGAGGATCGAGGTTGAAGGCCCGCCTGGGCAGGAAAGTTCCTAGCTGGGGCACGATGGAGGCTGGGATGGGAGAGGATCAGGGTTAGAGAGCAGCTGGACACGGTACTGTGCCACAAGACGTCAGCAAAGAGAAATCCAGAAGGAAAAACAGGGGTAGAGGCGTGGCTTAGCGGAAATAGAAAGTTTAGCCCTGCCAAGGAGCCGAGTTCAAAACCCAGTACCACCACCACGCACAACAAAGCAGCGGATAGAAGGGAGGTGGAAGGGATGTTTCTTTGACCCACAGTCCTTCACCCCGCAGTCCCTTCCTTCCTCCTCCTCCTCCTCCTCCCTTCCTCATCTTTGTATTTGTACCAGTCCTGGGGCTTGAACTCAGGGCCTGGGCGCTGCTGAACTTTTTCCCTCCAAGGCTGGTGCTCTACCACTTGAGCCACAGCTCCACTTCCAGCTTTTTTTGGGGGGGGGGAGATGGGTTCCTTGGAGATAAAAGAGTCTCACGGACTCGTCTGCCTGGGCTTGGAACGGCTCTCAGCCTCCTGAGTAGCTGGGATTACAGGCGTGCGCACCGGCGCCCGGCTCTGCCCCAACTTTCTAGACTTTGAATTAAGCGTTTGGTCCTCTGGAATTGGAGGCATGCCGGGAATTTCCAGGTGTGCGTCTCAGGGCGAGGCTTCTGGGCCTGGCTCTCCTGGTGATGTTCGGTGACTCACCAGCTCCTGACCTTGACCGAATGTCTCCAGGGGAGGTGTACTTTTAGGGAGTGAGTAATTGGGGAGAGCAAAAAGAAGCTGGGGTGTAGCAGCATGGTAGAAAGCGAGGCTGCGTTCCAGCGCTGATCCCAAAAGTAAACCAGAGATATACAAGGGTATACAAGGAGGTGCTCTGGTGTGGTGTGTGGTGTGTGTGTGTGTGTGCGTGTGTGTGTGTTCACCTCTGTCTAACCATCGCCCAAGTCACTCATGAGAATATGGAGGCTGAGCACTAAAGGCTCACACGTGTAAGCCTGGCTGGCGTGGGAGGCTGGGAAGGGGAGGATCCTGGTTGAAGGCCAGCCCTGCTAGGAAAGCTCTCTAGACTGCTTCTCGACGCAGAGTGGGGTACGCCTGCCATCCCAGGCCTGATGGGAGGCTGAGCTTGGGGGAGGATCGCAGTTCCAGGCCACTGTGGGGTAAAACCGTTCGTGGGGTGCAATCTCCACGGATTGGGGGCGGGAGGGACAGCTGGAGGGAGTCTAAAAGTGGGGGGCACCTGTCTAACAAACCTCCCGGTGGCTCTTGCTGTTAATTGAGCGTTCTAGAATGTTCACATAGCATTGCACGTGGCTGTCTTCATTCACCGTACCATGGAGAGTGTGTGTGTGTGCGCGTGCCGGACCTGGGGCTTGAACTCAGAGCCTTCGCTTTTTGTTTTTCAATCAACTAACACTTTCCATCGCCTGAGCCACAGCTGCACTTGCTGGTTCTCTGGCGATCAGAGCCTCACGGACGTCCCTTCCCCCACCCCGGGCTGGCTTTGAACCTCGCTCCTCAGATCTCAGCCTCCTGAGTAGCTGGGATTCCAGGCGTGACGGCGAGCGCCCGGCCTGTGTAGTATCTGTGTGTCCGCCGTACTCCTGGGAGGGATATTGCTTGTTCTCCACTTGCTGGTATTTGAGGGGTGTTTCTGGAACTCCCAACTGCCCATCATGGGGGTCACGGGGGGGGGCAGAGATCAAGAACTAGCCCCAAAGCTACTCTGTCTCCCAGCAGTGGGACTCACGGCCGCGTCCTCTCTCCCTCTCGTAGCTGGCCGGCATTGCGGTCCTGTCCATCGGACTGTGGCTCCGATTCGACTCTCAGACCAAGAGCATCTTCGAGCAAGATAATAACCACTCCAGCTTCTACACAGGTAAGGGGCTACAGGAGACCCCTCACCTTCTCCGCCTTCAGAGACCCCATGTTGACTCAGGGAATGGAGCCTGAGAAACTCAAGGGCCACAGAAGCCCCTCCCGGCCTCTTTGTAAGCTTGTGTAAGGGGTGTGTGTGTGTGTGTGTGTGTGTGTGTGTGAGTGTGTGTGTGTGTGTGTAGCTGTGCACATGGCGCCTGCCTTTGGTGTGTTTCCCGGCATGGGAAGTTAGCTCTGGCGAAGCTGTGGCTCTGTCTGTCCGGGGCTTCAAATCCTCCCCTCCCGTCTCCCCGACTCTCTCCTCATTCTGTGATTTCTACCTCCTCGTGCCTGAGCTTTTCTCTTTTAATTTATTTTTCTGGAGGGCGGGGGGCCAATTACCGGGACTTGAACTCAGGGCCTCAAACCCCTGAGTGCCTTTTTCATTCAAGGCTGGTGCTCCACCGCTAGAGCCACACACCTCCGCGTCTGGCTTTTCTTGCTGGCTCCGTGGAGGTGAACAAAAAGAGTCTCGTGGACTTTCCTATCCAGGCTGGCCTCAGATTTCCATCCTCGGAGCTCAGCCTCCTGAGTAGCTGGGATTACAGGCATGCGCCACCAGGCCCGGCCGTTTCTTTCATTTAGAAGCCTTTGTCCTGGGAATGGGCAGTACTGGGGAGGGAGGCCCGTGTCTCCCTTCCCACCCATGAACCACCAGAAAACCAGAAGTGGCGCTGTGGCTCAAGGGGTAGAGCGCCCGCCTTGAGCAGAAGAGCTGAGGGACAGCACCCAGGCCCTGACTTTCTTTCTACATGGGAGCTCCTGGTGTCTGTTTGTTTTCAGTACTTGGATTTGAACTCAGTGCCTTGAGCTTGATCCGCTGGCTTAGGCCGGTGGTGCTCTACCACTTGGGCCACACCTCTCACCTGGCTTCTTGCTGCTTATTTTGGAGGTAGCAGCTCACGCAGCCTTTCCGGCTCAGGCTGGCTTCGAACCACAATCCTCTGGCTCCAAGCCTCCTGGGTAGCTGGGATGACAGGCGTGAGGTACTGGGCCTTAGCATCTTGGAATCTTGGAGGAGCCATGAAAGGCTGTCACACGCTACGTGGCCATTTCTCATAAACTCGGAGTCTGGCCGTCCTTTTTTAGGCCTGACTTGGGGATATGGCCATTCGCGTCAGACTCCACGTGTCAGTTTGGTCATTTCCACGCACCCACCTAAGTTATTTTGAGGCTGAGCAAGTCATCCAAAGCGAGTGGGACTCAGACCAGAGAGACAGGTGTACGTCTGTGAGCGGCCGGGCATGGCGGCTCCAGCTACTCAGGAGTCAGAGATCAGAGAGGTTGGTTCTTAGGACTCCATCTCTAATCTCTAACGGATGGGTGTAGTAGCTCCCGCCTATCATCCCAGCCACGTGGAGAAACTGCAGTGGGAGGATTTCCACCTAAGCCTTGGGCAGCGAGTTGAGGCCTGACCTGGACGACGACGCTCCAGGTTAAAAAGGAGCTGGAAAGTTCAGCAAGGCACGGAGTTCAGATCCTGGTCACACCCGAAACATAAAAAAAGAACCAGTCCTGCAGGTTCCCGGGGGATCCTGGGTCCCCTGGCTGTTTGCCAGGGTTCCCCCGTCTCCACCGTGAAGGGAAGCGGGGTTAGGGTGTGGCCCTTGGTGGCCAGAAAGAAAGGCAGAGCCTGGAGTCCCCAACTAACCAGCAAAAAGCCGGAAGTGGGGCAGTGGCTCAAGGGGTAGAGCGCCCGCCTGGAGCACAAAAGCTTAGAGACGGGGCTCAGGCTCTGAGTTCAAGTCCTAGGACACACACGCGCGCGCACACACACACACACACACACACACAGCCCATAGGCAAAGAGCCAAAGAGGCTTTGCTTATGACCCCTCCCCAAAGCCCTTCCCTGAGCCCTTCCCCTCTGTGTGTGTGTGTGTGCGCGCGCGCACGCGTGTGTGTGTGTGTGTGTGTGTGCGCCTTGTGCTCTTGATTAGCTTGATTCCCTTCCACTCCAGCCTGGTGGTGCTCTACCACTTGAGCCACGCCTCCGCTTCCGGCTTTGCGCTGGTGCAATGAGTGGAGATCAGCGTCTCTTGGCTGCGTCTGCCCAGGGCTGGCTTTGAACCTGCCTCCTCAGCTCTCGGCCTCCGACGGAGCCGGGATTACAGGAGTGAGCTACGGGGTCCTGACGAATCTATTTATTTGTTCTTTCTCGGTGACTTGGCCTGGACATTATTTTTTTCTTTTTTTAACCAAAAGGAGAATAAACAGCCTCAGGCATGGGACTCTGGGTAATCCTCAAGGAAGCGCTGAGCCGAGTAAGTTTTTCCATGAGTCAGACTGTGTTCGCTCGCTTTATAAAGGGGAACACGCCTTCGGCCATTACCAGCAAGCCGGCTCCACACAGCTTTCCCGAAAGACTTGGGGAAAAGCCCAGCCCAGGGCTTGGGGGCGGAGCTCTGTGGTCCAGGCTTTCCCAGCATGCCTGAGGCCCTGGGTCCAACCTCAGACCCTGGGAGGGAGGGGAGGGGAAGGCGAAGAAAGGGGGAGGGAAGGGAAGGAAAGTCACCCAAGCTCTCTAGCAATCCCGGAACTCTTTGGGGTGACAGGGAGACCTGCTTTGGGTTTTTGTGCTGGTCCTGGGGCTTGAACTCAGGGCCTGGGCACTGTCCCTGGCTGGCCTCAAGCCGTGATCCTCCGATCTCAGCCTCCTGAGGAGCTGGGATTATAGAGGTGAGCCACAGGGCTTGGCCAGATTCTGTAGGCAGCAATCACCAAAGCAATCTGCCCTGTCTTCCCTGAACTTGATAGGGCCATTTCTGGGTCCTTCGAGAACTTGCTGGAGCCAGTGAGCAGACTTAAAGCCCACCAGACTCTAGTTTAAATCCTCCTCTACTGAGCCTCCATGTGGCAATATCATTCAACCTCTCCTCAGAGGCCCATTAAGAGAATTTTCTCACTGGGGCACCGGTGGCTCACGCCTATAATCCCAGCTACCCAGGACGCTGAGATCTGAGAGACCCAGTTCAAAGTCAGCCCAGGCAGACACATCCAAGAGACTCTCCAAGCAACCAGGGGAAAAAGTCAGCCCTGAAGGCATGGCTCAAGTGGAAAAGTGCCAGCCTAAGACAAGAGCACAAGGCCCTGAGTTCAAGCCCTGGTATATAAAAAAGGAAAAAGAAAATTTAAGAAAGAGAGAAAGCGGGAAAGAGAGAGAAAGAAAGAAAAAGAAAGAAAGAAAGAAAAAGAAAAGAGGGCTGGGCAGGTGGCTCAGTGGTAGAGTGCTTGCCTTGCATGCCTGAGGCCCTGGGTTCGATTCCTCAGCACCACATAAGCAAAAAGAAAAAAGCCGGAAGTGGCGCTGTGGCTCAAGTGGTAGAGCGAAGCTCAGGGACGGCGCCCAGGCCCCCAAGATGGCCAACAAAAGAAAAAGAGAAGAAAGTCAAAAGCATTTTGTGTGTGTGGGGTCTACACAGAACTGTGGCGTTTTTTTTTTAAACAAGGCCAAAGTTGGGGCTCTGATGTCCAGTACCCCCAATTCCTGCCGGGGGTGCCAGGCTCCACACCCCTGTGCTACTCAGGGAAAAGCCCTGGGGCTGGGTCGGGCCTCCCAGTGGGGTTTTGGTTGCTGGTAAATGCTGCTCTCTCCCAATGGCTCCCCATTTTCTCACCCCTGGCACCCCAAGGTGCCACCTCGGCTGTGACCTGCTCTCCCCCTCCCCGTGGAGGGATCTGGGGTCCCCCAAGTCCAGCCTGTGTGGGCCGCGGGGACCAGCTGGCATTTGTCCCCGGGCCCAGTGCAGGCCGGGCGCTCAGGGGAACAATGCGCACATTCATGCCAAGCGGGGCTTGCCAGCACGCCCACGTGATGGCACCAAGACACACAGACGCTCCCTGTGTGCCCCCTGCTCTTGGGGGGGCTGCAGGGGGTGGGGGGTCCCCGCTGTCTGCTGCCCTCACTACGGGGAACCACACATGGGGGGCTGTGACCTCACCGCCAGCTGCTGTGCAGTGTGGGGGAGGGGGAGGGGGAACAGCTCAAGTGTAGCCCTGACTCTGCGGCCCCAGGTTCAAGGACAAGGTTTTCTGAGTGGTTCATGGGAGATCAGAGTCTCACGGACTTTCCTGCCCGGGCTGGCTTTGAACCGCGATCCTCAGATCTCAGCCTCCTGAGTCGCTGGGATGCCAGGCGGGGACCCCCCCCTCCCCCGTGCCTGGCGCCCTGGTGTGGTTTTATAACGTGATGACCCATCCTTGTGTCCTCCAGATGAGTCACCGCATTTGCTGCCCAGATGTTGGTTGGATCATTTAATCCTGGCAGGAATCTGTGTGTGCGTGTGGGTGCTTGTGTTCTGCCACTGAGCTACATTCCCAGCCTCGGCCATCTCTGTGAAAACGAAATAAATACCCAATGGGGCAAGGGAGCTGAAGCCTATAGTCCCGGCTGTTAGGAAAGTACAGATCAGAGACTCGTTGTCCCAGGCCAGCCCAGTTATAAAGGTTTGCTAGATTACATCTCCCATCTATGGCTGGGCACGGTAGCATATGCCTGTCATCCCAGCTACTCAGGAGGCTGAGATCTGAGGATGGCGGTTCAAAGCCAGCCTGGGCAGGAAAGTCTGTGAGACTCTGATCTCCCATGAACCACCAGAAAACCAGAAGTGGCGCTGTGGCTCAAGGGGTAGAGCGCCAGCCTTGACCTGAAGAGCTGAGGGACAGCGCCCGGGCCCTGAGTTCAAGCCCCAGGACTGATACACACACACATACACACATACACACACACACACACACACAAAGTACTGAAGGGTGGTGGGTAGGGAAGGAGAGGGAGGGGAGGGAGGGAGGAAGGGTTAGCTTCCACCCTGTTGTAGAACTGGCCTTCCACATCAGACATCGTGGGTTTCCAGGCTGGTGCTTGCACGTTTTTGCGCGTTTGGGTAGAGCCAGCCTGTGTAGCACAGAGAGGCTGTGTGACCTCTCTGGGGGTGGCCCGCAAAGGGCACAGCAGTGCACTGTGAGCGGGGCCCTCTGGACACCCCGCCCCAGCCTCCCACCTCAGGAATGTGCGTTGTTTGGGGTGTCTCCCACATCCCCCCCCATGAGCCTCCAAACACCGGAGACCTAGCAGTGGTGCCTTCTGGCTAAGAAGGATCTGTCCCCCCTTTATGAAGAGTCCCTACCACCTCGGTGCACTCTGAGGATCTCTTGGAACTCTCTAGCAACCTCCCACACACACTCTCATTTTGCTAGGAAAGGAAACTGAGGCCCCGCTGATGGACAAGAGCTGGCCAGAGGTCAGCCCAGCCATCAGATCTTCCAGCCAGGCACTGGTGGCTCACACCTGTCGATCTAGCGACTGGGGGGAGGCTGAGGTCCGAGGATCCCAGGTGGAAGCCAGGCCGGGCAGACAAAACAGAGAAACTCCTTTATCTCTAATTAACCAGCAACCACCACCTTTCGACGTAGACGTGTGGTTCTAATAAGAAGAATAGTAATTAAATTTACATTTAGGAAGTCTTCTGATGTCCACCCAGCCAGGGGAGATGATCCTAAGTCGGGTGCACAGGGCAGGACACCCCAAAGCAGGGGTGGACACAGCATTCTGGGGGAGACTCCTCCAAGTCCCAGGATGTGCGTCCATCCCATTTGGGGGTGTCAGGGGCATGAAGTCGGGGGGAGAGGAGGAGGCAGGAAGCGAGGAAGGCCAGGAGGCCCCCGGCTCAGCCTGACGTCCTCTCCTCTCCCCACCCCGCTGTTCACACCCACACCCCATCCTCAGGCGTCTACATTCTGATCGGAGCGGGCGCCCTGATGATGCTGGTGGGCTTCCTGGGCTGCTGTGGCGCTGTCCAAGAATCCCAGTGCATGCTGGGGTTGGTGAGTGTCCCTCCTGTGTTTCCACGTGTCTGTGTCATGGCCAGCGCCATGTTGGTTGGCCGCCATGTTTGTGGGCCAAGGCCCCGAGGCTTGCCCTGGAGTTGGCATTGCTTTCCCCTTCCTCCGGGTTCCACGTTTGTGTTTGTTTCCTCCCCCCCTCCCCTCTTTTCCTTTCTCCACCTCTTGGTCAGGAGTGTGCCCCCCAAACTCCACCGTGGGTGCCCCAAGTCCACAGTGAGTGTCTCATGGCCCCCTGACCGCTCTACCGTCCCTCTCCCGCTGTGGGCTGGAGCTGGGCCTTACCCTCTTGCTAGAAGGTGAGAGTCATGACTCTAGGCTGCCCCTTCTGGAAGGTTCATGTGTCACACACACACACACACACAGTTCCAGACACCAGCTGATTTTCACAGCCAGCCAATTGGGGGCTCTCACCGCATCCTCTCTTTTCCTCCCAGTTCTTCGGATTCCTCCTGGTGATCTTTGCCATCGAGATCGCTGCGGCTATCTGGGGCTATTCGCACAAGGATGAGGTGGGTGTGGCTGGGAGGGGTGGAGCTCTCTTAGGATCCTGACTGGGGAAACTGAGGTCTGGAGAAGGAACACAGCTCGCCACAGGTCACACAGCCCGACACTGAGCAGTGTGGGGGGGGAGGGGCGCTACTCAGAAGGCCGGGATGGAAGGATCAAGGTTCGAAACCCCAGTCCCAGCTGACAAATCTGAGAGGTTCTTCTCACCAACGAACCAGGAAGAAAACAGGGAAGAGATCTACCCAAGGTGGAAGGGAACAGGAGAAAAGTGACCAGGCCAGGTTCTTAGAGAAGGTCAAATGAGACCCAGGGAGAGGTTGGTCTACCTGATGCCATTTTCCAAGAGTGGCTGTGTGTGTCACACGCCGGTCTGTGCACCCCAGGTGATTAAGGAGGTCCAGAAGTTTTACAAGGACACCTACAGCAAGCTAAAGAACAAGGATGAACCCCAGAGGGACACTCTGAGAGCCATTCACGCTGCGGTAGGTTTCTCTTTGTCTGTTTCCGGGGGCCTGGCTGCACATCCGGGTCCTTCGATTCCAGTTCTGGGTTGTTTGTTGTTCGTGTGTGTGTGTGTGTGTGTGTTCATGTGTCACCCCCATTTCTCCCTCCTCTCTGCAGTTGAACTGCTGCGGTCTGATTGGAGGTGTGGAGCAATTTATCTCAGACATCTGCCCCAAAAAAGAACTTTTGGACAACATCCAAGTTAAGGTAAACTGAGGAACGCTCTGGTGCTGCTGCTCCTATTGGCTTTGGATGGAGGGGGGCCACACAGGGGAAACAGGAAGTGATTCATCTAGATCTCTTCTGCCTCATGGCGGGAGAGTGAACACCGCCGGGACAGGCCTCAGGGGTGGACACGTCCACAAACTCGCAAGGCTCACGCCCGCCATCCTAGCTACTCAAGAGGATGAGAGCTGAGAGGATCAAGGGTTCAAAGCCAGCCAGGGCGGGCAAATCCAAGGAACTTTAACCCCTGAAGAACCTAGCAAAAAGCCAGAGTGGAGGCGTGGCTCAAGTGGTAGCACACCAGCTTTGAGAGACACAGCTAAGTGTATGAGGCCTTGAGTTCAAGCCCCAGCGCACACACACACGCACACAGAGTGCGTACCAGAACTACTAGCTTGCCAAGGGCCGAGGGCTGGTCTTTGGTGCCTTTAATCCTAACTACGCAGATGTGCAGAACGGAGGGCCCGAGCCAGCTCAGGCCAAAATAACAAAGTCCCGAGACTCCAGCAAAAAGGCAGGCTGGAGGCATGGTTCAAGTGGGAGAGCACCAGCGTGCGCAAGAAGCAGCTCCGTGGAGGGATGCTGCCCTGCGTGCGGGCCCCGGCCCAGCGAG